TGATTTATTGTTTACAAAATATGATCTAGTGGGTGGAGAAAATAAGTGAAGAGAAAAGAGATCTTTTTAAGCTTTAAAAGGTATTATTCCAAAGCTTTTATCTTCTGCTGTGTAAGTTTGAAGGATTTTCCAAGGTGCATTAAAACCAGTCTGAGTGTTTCCATCAGGCTTTGAATTAGGTCCCTGACAAGATATATGAACTGTCTTGTATCCAAGGTCAGTAGTACAAATCACTTTTTATATCGGCATAACTAAGAAAACATCAGAAATCCAGTTACACACAAAAGCAATGGCCTGTGCAGGAGTTTCCTCAGCTTTACACATTGCTTGTGACTTCCTGGATTAATTTCATAGAATGTGAGTATACCTATATGTATGTATATGTACATGTATACATATATGTATTCTATGTTAGAAATACTGACCTTAATGGCATTCTAAAAGACACATATTGATATTAATTGACAAACAGCCCAAAATCTGACTATTTCACAAAATACTGAGAACTTCAACTGGTGGCAAAAGCCTTATTCAACTGGTGGCATTCAAAGAAAGGTGGACAGTTCTATTCAAATGCAGTTATTACAGGTCAGCATTGATGTGACTGGCAGTAGAATAGTATCCTTGCTGTAAATTATCCTGTGTAGAATCAAGCATGTATGCATAGTGGGAGAAGAAAAAAGGAAAAAAAAAAAAAAAAAAAAAGAAAATTTTGGGTAGCCAGAAGGATGAAATTTTCTGTTAAACATGACAAGTTAAAAATTTCATAAATTGAATTTTCTTTCCTTTTCAGTTGTTCTGTGTCTTACATTTGCTTGATAGAACTTGCTTGATAGGGCAAAAAGATTTCTGAAGGCCAGAATAACATCAGAATATACTGCACTGTGTAAGTTTGCACATTTGTAAGTGACTGCTGTAAAAGTCAAATATTCTGATAGTAAAATGAGATTCTGAGGGAATAGTTGTACTAATCAATGTAATTCATGAATTAATCTTTCATAACTAGAAATAAGTTCTGTTACTAAGTCTCTGCACTTGTGATCTTTCAGAACAAAAGCTTTTTCTACAGTATTTTAAAGCTGTCTGCTGAATATTAATATTTGATCCCAAAAACAGTGAGGATAGGGTCATGTTCGTATCACCTCCAATATATCATGTACAGCAGTGGTTAAATGGCGAATTACATGTCAGTCACAGCACATTGGTCAGGACTTCAGTTCACTGGTTCTGTGTACCCTTAGCAGCTCCAGCAAACAAAATGTCATCAGGAAATCTGCAGTGCTATGCAATGAAGATTATGAAAAAGACTGCACAGTATACAAACTGATTCAAGAGGTAAAGCAGCAATTTGTTATGCTGCTTATTCTGGAACTATTTTATTAGACGTGGTGCCAGCACGTGTTATTGCAATAAATAATGGAGGGTGTGCAAACCACAATCTAAGCGGACTCCTTAAAGCCTTTCATAAATGATTCCTAGTGGTTAAACTATGTGTTAAGGAGAAAACATAAAATATGGGGTCATTTTGCTCATTCTGTGAAAGTTGCAATTTTTTTTTTTTTATTAGAAGGCTTGAACTTGAGAAGTCTTTGAGTGAATGAAATATCACAAAGAGTTATGTTGGCAGTCACATAATGGACAATGCCATTCTCAGCATGTGGGAACTTTGTGACCAGTTCTATTATTTAACATCCTTCTTTCATCTGTATTTACCATTTATTATGTGATACCTGTAGTCACTCAGGACAGAAAAACAGAAAGCATGACCATTCCAAAGACAAGTCCACTTTATGGTAGTATACAAGCCAGATTTCAGTATTTCTTGGTTCTCCAATTCAGGGGTGACAATAAAAATTCATATTTTCACCATATATTAACACACATGCATACATATACCCTGGCATAATGTTGTTAAATGTACTTGATAGCTTTACAAATTGCCCCTCCTCTCTGCCAAGATATATTTTCCTCATAAATATGCTTCACACCTTCACTTCGGCTGTAAGGACAGATACTTTAGGAACACCTTTCAGAATATATTTGGATAGACTCTGTTCTATCATCCTAACTATATGTTCTGTCCAGTAAAGTCATTATCCTGCACTTGGATTTTTTGAATCTAGAGTGAGTGTCCAAGACTATACCCATGTAAAATGATATCCCTATAGTTGTCACATATGTCTAAATATTGATCTTTTCCAAAGCAATTTGAAGTTAAAAAGGACTCTCCATGATCACATTATCACAAATTAGGTCTTGAAGATTTGGGCTAATTTTTTAAATTTATTTATTCAGCAGAGAATTCAGAATGAATTAGATAATTTATCAATGGAGAAGAAGGAATAGACTTTTCCAAGGGGGACAAACGTGTCATTGGGAGCCATCACTATGGCAAAGTCTTTAATGTTGCTTTTGAATGTTATACACTATGTCTTAAATCCTATGTACTTAAATGCAATGAACAGCTCTTAAAAACAGAGAAAAATGTGATGAACAAAAAAAGTGTGTATCTGGGCCAAGGCACAGACAAGATCATCTAGCATAAGTACAGTCTTAACAGCTAAGAGACCTCCATGCTGTCAGGGAATAAAATACTGGCACCTGTTCTAAAAAGCTTACAGTCCACACATAAGATGAGAGACAACTTAGGGAGATAGACACTGTTAATGTAATAGGCAGGTGTTTTAAAAGAGCAGTAGCACAAACATGTTCAAGTGATAAAGGCATCACAAGAAATGAGAACACTGAAGGATGGATTAGAAGGAAAAGGAGGAGGGTTTTTTCCAGACACTGACCGTATGTGTGGGTAACAGCATGGGAGAAAGCATAAATTCTCTTATTTTCTTTTCATTGGCACATATGAAAATTCTCCTCTGTGGAAAAATTTTAATTGAGCTACCTCTTTCCAGTCCTTTTGTTTTTTCTTTTTCTCTTTATCTAAGAAATGATAGGCTATTTCTGGTCAGCAGATGAAACTTGCTCCTGAAATAACAATTTCAGTCCAGCTGGGATAATTCTGAAATGGAGAGCAGGTGGAGTGGGAGGGAGCAGTCAGTCTGGCAAGGTCTTGGGCATAAAAAAGAAAGGCAGGAAGGAGAAAGAAATCGGAAATGATGTGGTAAGTTGGAGTAAGCTTTAAAGGAGGAAGAAAGGAAGATGGCATGAAATGGAGAGGTTCAGAAAGATATGTTGGAGTTTGGCAGCCACAAATACCACAGGATCACAGAATTTTTGAGGTTCTGTGAACGCACCTCAAAAGGGACATCTGGAGATTGACAAGGCCACCCCTACAGGTCAGAGCAGAGTCAGCTAGAGAAGGATGCTCAGTATCTTTTTCAGGTGAATTTTTAATATCTTCACGACGTTTTGCTGGGCAACCCATTCTAGTGTTTGACCACCCTCAGAGTAAAGAACAAAAAAGAAGTTTTTTCTTGTATTTAAGTCCAATCTCCTGTATTTCAGTTTGTGCCTGTTTTGTCTTGTCCTGTCACTGGGCACCACTGAAAAGAGTCTCTGACTCTGTCTTTTTTACTCACTACCCCTGACCCCGCCAAGTATTTATACACACTGCTGGCTTATGTTTCAAGTGGTATCCACCAGGAT